AAGTGGGACGGAAATATGTTGGTGCCAGGTGAAGACGCAAAGACGAGAGCACTCAGAAGGGAAGCGCTGGAGCGAGTAAGGCAACGAGCACGAGAGGCTAGAGAGAAACAACGGCAAGACTCGCTGTCACTTCAGCTGGAACAGGAGCAGCAGCAGCAGCGCAGCCAAGAGTTAAGCCGGCAGCTTATGCAACGCACCTTGCAACGGATACGGGAAAACGCAGTGAAGCAAGAAGAACAGAGGCAGGAACAGCTCATACTGCAGCAAAAAATGATGCAACAGGCAGAAGAAAGAAAAAAATACTGCGCTCAGCACCGCAGAGCCCTGCAACAGAAGCTGATACGACAGCAGAGAGAAATTAAAAACAAAATACGCACGCGCGCAGAAGAGAGCGTCAGGCAGTCGAGGGAAGCAAAGGCAAGGTCCCATAGCGCGTTAGGAGTAGCATGCCCTTAGAAAAGCACACAGATGCCAGGGAACTCAGCTCAACCAAGCAATGCAACATTATTCGATTTTTCGAGCATTCTTGGCGTGTTACGCTGGATGGGTCGCTGAATGTGTTGCCACTCTTCCCGTGAGCGCAAACTTGATTTCGCACATTTTTTTCGGGATTTTTCCACTTCTTTCTCTGCAGCTGCCCTCTATATACGGCCTTTTAGTTGCAAGTATGCAGAAATTTTGCCAACGGTCTCTAGCTCCTTTTTGAACATTTGCAATTGCCTTTTCAGAAGAGAATTGCAGCGGAGCTGCGGGCCTTTAGGCGGCGCACAGTCTCGCGCTTGCAGGTAGCCTAGTACGAATCATAGATATGTCCACATCATGTGTCTTGAAAATATACTGAACAGTAAAATCAGCCCACTGGTCAAAGAGAACAGCCTCAAAGCGAATACCTAGAAGAAGAGTAGGCACGGGACAAAGCCAAAAGACAAGTGACTGATTCGCCACAGTGTACGTACCCCGCTGCAGCAGCAGCAGCTGCGGCTGCTGCTACAACAGATGCTGCAGTTGCTGCTGCAGCTGTTACTGCAGCACCAGCAGCAGCAGCTGCTGCTGCGGCTGCATAGGCCTCAGCAGCAGTTCCTTCACCCTGCAGTGTACGTACACCCCAGCCCCCCTTCGAAGTGAACCCCCAAAAGACCAAAAGGCAGCAGCAATACTCAGCCAGGGGCCCCTCAGGGGCCCCTCTCTGGGGCCCCCCGGGCAACCCCGGGGGCCCCCACGGGGCGTTTTAAGGCGCGGGGGCCCTTTTAGGGGGCCCCTTTGGGGCCCCTAAAGAAAGGGCCCCTAAAGGGTCTCTTTTGAGTTTATTAAATGCTTTCTTTTAAACCACTAAAGGCCTCTTTTGCTGCTGCCAAAAAGCCCATATAAACCCCCACAGGGGCCCCCCAAGCGGCCCCACAGGGGCCCCACAGGGGCCCCACAGGGGCCCCACAGGGGCCTCACAGG